TATAAAGGCCATCTCAATATTGCGCAGTATCTAGTTAATGAATGTCACGTTGATCCAGACATAGCAGATAGCTCTGGTAACACGGGATTGCTTTACTCAGCACTGGGTGGTCACGTTGACCTCGTGATTATGTTTTTAAAGAAGAAGTGTAACGTGTCTCAGGTGAATAGAGAAGGATCCAGTTTATCATTATTAGGATGTAAGAGTGGAGAGGTAGCATTAGTTGATCAGCTTAAGCAGTTTGGTATTTTCTCAGAAGATGAGATAGATTTTAACGGATGTGGAATAGTACATTATTGTGCTATGAGTGATAGTGTAGAGCTTCTAGAGTATCTTTATAATAATTATAAAAGTGAATTATTTCAAAAAAGAAATCGTTTTGGTGCAAAACCACTTCATACAGCATGCCAGTATGCTTCATCAAGTTTCATTATGAAAATGGTTAATATTTTTGGATATAAAGTATTACTAGAAGCTGATTATAGTGGTCACTCTTCTCTTCATTACTTATGCAGTGGATTGGTTGATAAATACTGCATTACAGAAGTGTATAATAAGCTCACAGCACCATGTGATATACCTTTACTTCAACAATTCAATTATCTCAATGTCAAAGTAGGCTGGTTTATATTTCTATCACTAAACATAAATGTTACTAAACAGCATAAAAGAGTGAGCCTTTTGTCTACACTCCTCAAGAAGACAAGCGTTATTAATAATTTCAATATAAATTCTATTACTGCTACTGGTCAATCGTTAGTTCATTTAGCATGTACTAGTGGTAGTATATTATTAGTGAAGGTATTAGAGGAGTATGGTATTAATACAAGTTCATTAGATTATGAGGGTCGGTCTGCAGTACATTATGCTGCTTTATCAGGTTCACCTACTCTACTCAGTTATACTGTATCTGAGTATAGCTTAAATGCCAGTCAACCAGACTACAAAGGTATAGTACCATTAACATTAGCTTGTATGTCAGGTAGTATCAATGCAGTAGAATATATTATGAATACTACTGACATTGATATTAATATAACCTGTAATGAGGGTAGAACACCTCTTCATTGTTCATGTAATCATGGTAATGTTGATCTCAGTCAATATCTCATTGAAGTACAAGACAGTGACATTAACATAACAGATAATGATAAATGGAATGCATTGACTCATAGCGTTAGCAGTGGAGACATAAAGTTAGTCCAATACCTCATTAATAATCATCAATTGCCTCTCACATCATTTGCATTACTTCAAGCAGTACTTAGTACTAAACTATCATTAATTAAATTATTAGTTAATGAATATAAACTAGATCCTCAAGTTAAAAGTGGTGAAGGTTTACTAGCAGTTCATTGTGCAGCTCAAGTTGGTGCTATTGATGTCTTAGAGTATTTAGTAAAAGATTGTGGATGTAATTTGGATAGAGTAGATTTAGGTGAAGCAAAAAATATGAATGTGCTTCATTATTCTACAATGAATGGTCATTTTACATTTATTAAATATATTATTAATAATTATCCACAATATACTAGTCTATTACATGCTACTGATAATAATGATACTCTTCCAATTCATTGTGCCTGTTCTAGTGGTGTAATACAACTAGTGACATTTCTAATTGATGTAATGAAATGTGATGTCACTACTGAAGATAAGACTGGCTACACTTGTGTCACTGAAGCATGTTCCTCTGGTAATCTTGATCTCTTAAAATTATTAATAAAACAATACAACCTTTATCCTAGAATAGTGAGCAGCAGAGGATCATCACCAGAAGTGGCAGTAGGGGTTGGACATGTTCACATATTAGAATGGCTCAGAGAAGAGTATCATATCAATGTAGTCTCATTTAAGAATGGTGTATTACCTTTTCTTGCTACACATTTCAACAATTTGTACTGTTTGAAGCATTTATTAAACAATTATTCATTTGAT